ACCTGCGTTAGTGGCACACGACCTACTGGAGCATGGTCAGAGGGACAGGGATGTACTCCTGCTACAGATGGAGGAGGAAGGAGGATGGCTCTTTAGAACACTGGTTCTGGAGCGCCTGGGGACATGACCATCATTGGAGCCAGGATGGCGACAGAAGGGGTGATGAGAAGTGTCAGGGGCTGAGTCTGCTTTGGACATTCAGGTGCCAGAACCTACAGGTGGATTAGATGTGGGATTGAAGGAGAGGGAGGCCTCAGCTGCCATAGATCTTGGCATCAAACCCTAAGCTTGTGAAAATGGAAGTAGAGGGGACCACAAAGACCCAGCAGCAGGTTGGTATGAGTTGCACAGAGCGTAAGCTGTGCTGTGGTTCAAATGTATCTCCAGTGTCTTTCCAGGGTTTGTGTATGGGAAGGTGTTAGTAAGTGGGGGACCAGGACTGGGGAGATGGCTCAACTGATAAATTCCCCACCGTACAGAGCTGAGTTCCGATCTCCAGCCCCCAGATGGAATCTGGGCCATGGCAGCACACGTCTGTAACCCCAGTGCTGGGCACAAGTGGGAGGAGACTCAGTGCTTAGTCATCCCGGCTGATTGGGCTGCTCCAGGTTCAGTGTGCAATCCAGTCTCAAAAATAAGGTGGTGGGCCGGGGAGACTACTCGATAGTTAAAAGATCCCATCATGCAAGTGTGAGGGCCCAAGCTCGCATCCTAAGAACTCGCATAAATGCTAGGTGGGCATGGCAGCTTTCCTGTGACTCTCAAGCTTGGAAGGCACAGATGGGGGGGGGGCGCATCCACAGGGCCAGCTAATGAAACCAATCTATGTTGGTGTCTTAGGATTTTGTTGCTGTGTAGACACACCATGACCATAGCAGCTCTTATAAAAACATTTCATGTGGGTGGCTTACATTTTCAGAGGTTTAGTCCATTATCACCCTACTACAACATGGTAGTGTACCGGCAGACATGGTGCTGGAGAAGTAGCCAAGTGTCCTACATTTTGGCTTGCAGTAACAGGATGTGGTCTCACTTACTGGGCATGGTTTGAGCATATATGAGACCTCAAAGCCCACCCCACAATGACACACTTCCTCCAACAAGACCACACCTACTCCAACAATGCTGCACCTCCTAATAGTGCCACTTCGTTTGGGAGCCATTTTCTTTCAAACTTCCAGTGGGTGAAAGACCATGACTCCATGAATAAGGCGGGAAATGACTAAGGAAGACCGTCAGTCTTGGGCCTCTACATGCGCATACAGGCATGTGCACCCGTAGATGTTCATATGTTTACATATACATGAACACGTATGTGTGTGAACACCACATACACAGCAATAAATTAAAAAAAAATATGGTGGAGAGGAATCAAGGAAGATGCCCAGCATTGGTCTTGGGCCTCCACATGCATGCACACATACATACCACGTGTGCACATACCACCCACAAACACATATATACACCATATATGCAAACACACAAGACTTGGTGGAACCTTTAAGAAGTGGGGCCTGGAGATCGTTCGAATGCTGCAGGTACCCCCCTCGGAAGAGATTAATGTAGTTTTCCTGGGACACTGGTTAGTTCCCACTAGAGAAACTTGTTCTATAACGGCAAGCAAGGCTCGCCCTTCCCCAATCTCTCTGACTTCCTGTTGTCCCATGTGACCCCCTCCCTCTTGTGTGGACACTCATCGTGATGTTATATGTCACGCCGTGATGTGCCTAAGGGAGTCCTGTCAGAGCCAGCACCGTGCTGTCTGGACTTGGAGCTCCCCAAATCATGAGTGAAATAAGCCATTTTATTTGCAAATACCCAACTCCATGTTTTCAACAGAAATAGATTAATGTAAGACATGTAACAGCAAACAGCTACTTGTGCTGCAGCCTGGAGCTCAAGGGGGAGGTCTGGGTTGGAGCTGGGAATCCAGGAGGACATCAAGTCCTGAGACTGAGCAAGAACTCTCTGAAGATAATCCGCAATGAAGCCAGAGCCCAGACAGAGGCCCTGTGAGGCCTTGGGTTAGCCACAAGGCAGGAGTCTATGCCTGTCACCTTGTCTCATTTGTGAAGATGGCGTTCTCAGGATGAGAAAGAACTTTCTGAAGCTGTCATTTCCTTGCCTTGTGCCTCGGTTTATCTTTTGGCATACTGGAAGATGTAAGATCTGGAGTCCAATGTTTTGACATGGTGGCTTGCAAAGATGACATTTTTTTTTTTTTTGGCTTAGGGTTGTATTTTCTTCCAGGTCATGGCAAACCCGATCTTACCATAACTGAGGGATGCTGCCAAAACGATCATCCTTGGTAGAAAATCGCTGTCCACGACCAGGCCTGGAGATCTAGGGACTAGGAGAGCTGTGAGGGGAGGATTTACACTTTAGGGGAGGATTTAATCACACGGCAGGAAGGACTCAGAGACCCGGGAGTGTAGCTCACTTGGTAGAATGTTTGCCTAGCATGAAGCCCTGGGTTCCATCCCATCGCTCATAAACCAGTACGGTGGCCCACGCCTGTGATCTCAGCACTTGGAAAGTGGACACAGGAGGATTAGGAGTTCAGTGTCATCTTTGAGTGACTTCAGGGGAGATTTCAGACCAGCCTTGGCTGCATGAGTCTGCGTCTCAAGAAGGAAAACATGAATGTGGTTGGGGAAATGGCTCAGTGGCTAAGAACACTTGCTGCTGTGGTAGAGAACCTGAGATTGGTTCCCCCACAACCACATGGCAGCTCTAACCATCATCAACTCCAGGAGATCCGATGTCCTCTTCTGCCTGCTGTGGGTACATACATACGTGGTGCACATACATATATGCAGACAAAGTCAGTCATACACATAGTCCGAGAAGAAGGAAGAGTCTAGAAAATTAAGTAGTGTGGAGAAAGAGGAGCAAGACTTAAACAGGAGAAGGGAGGAGGAGGAGGAGAAGGACAAGTGGAGGAGGACAGAGGGGACAACAGGTTCATATTTCCTAGGTGGCAGCACCAGGTCCACAGAGGAGAGCAGTCCACTAGAGCAGGGCCAGCGTTCAGGTAGCCCACGTCCTCTGTGGCCTTGGCGGCAGCTGCTGTATAAGAACTTGCTATAGACTGGGGGGGTGGGGGCGGAGGGGAGGTGCTTGCAAGGGGCTGAGATGGGGAAGAGCCCTGAGGGGGCTGGGACTTGATGGATCAGGGCAAACCTTCACAGATGGAGAGGGGGGATGTGAGAGGGCCAATGGGTGCAGGCGTGAGGAAGAGTGGGAGTGGCATGAATGTCCTTGGCACCTTCCTGAGGGTGTGTGGTGAAGGGCAGCTGAGGCGTGGGGTGGCAGTGTCTGCCCTGAGAAATCAAGACTCCAGACAGGCATACGTGGACAGCTCCAGTGGGAATGTGGGCTTCGGAGAGGGAAGGCAGGAGAGAGACAGCCTGCACTGGTCCAGCAGACAGGTGCCCCTGCCAGAGCAGTAGACATGGCACTTACTCCATCTGGGACCAGCATCTTAGCACGGGGCCTTACTACGCTGCCCATCTTTGACCACAGTCAGCACCATTCTATCCAGGAAGACATCCAGATTAACCAGCTGCAGTATACAAGCCCCACGGTCTAGCAGCCCCCTTTCTTCTCAGAGAGAGCAGATCTGGGTGGAGTCCTATAGAAAGGAGAAGTATGCCTTCCGTGACCCCGTATGCGCTCATGCGTGCATATGTGTGTGCACACACAAAGCATTAGGACTGTGACAACGCAGCAAAAGCCCCCAATCTACTTGCCCTTCCGCTCGAGGGTAAACACCACATCCCAAAGTCCTTGGGGCTTCATTTGCTTTGGCAGCAGTACCCTAAGGAGCTCCCACGGGCTGGCCTCTGCTCTGCAAGGGGGAGGCTGTGATACACAAGGGAGTCCCAGCCTCCTGGGACCTCCCTCTGCAGGGCAGAGGAGGGCATAGCAAGCCACTCTGCAAATGAGACTAGCAAGGGGGACCTAGGAGGGAGTGACTTGGGAGCTTTAGACCAAGTGGCTTGGGTGAGCCTGTCTGAAGAACCTGGACTCCATCAAGACCCAGATGGCCTGTGGAGCTCATCACTGGAAGAGACCAGGGGAAGAGCATGTGCCAAGGTCCTGGGACAAGGCCGAGAGGTCCCTGTGCCTGGAGTAGACTGTGGATGAGGAAGGGGAGGCTGGGGCAGTCAGGCTGTGGCAGGTGGGCTGGGGACTGCCACAAAGGGATGGTCACCTCATCCACAAAGACCGGGGAAGCGCAGTGTAGCTTTAAAAGAGAGTGAGTGTGATCCAGGTGATACCTAGAGGCTACCTGTGTGTAATCCAGGTGAAACTGAGACTACCTGCTTGTTTGCTGCCATTAAGGAGGAAGAACTGGTGGTGACAGAGTGTGGAGAGGGACAAGAATGTGGGTAGTGGCCGGGATGGTGAACAGAAGAGGGCAGAACATGAAGGGGTTTAAATATGGAGAAATCCATGGGACTTACCAGCAGATGGGAAACAGGAAGTGAAAGGAGGGGAGGGCTCCCAGAGAGCTGCTGATGCTGTCATCCCTAAGGGTGGAGAGGTGACAGGCCAGTGGCCATGGCACATATATATGTGCAGGGTGGCTTTAAACATCTGCAGTTGGAGATGTTCCAGACAGCGCTGTGGATATCAGATGGGTGTCTGGAATAGGAGGTGGACCCTGGGGGTTGGGTGCTGAGTCCTGCCTGTTGCCTGGCCCGTGTGCTGCCTGGGGGCTGCAACTGACCACTGCCACCCCAACATGCAGCCCTCCTGACATGCAGCCTGTCCTCTCTACTCATTTGCCTCCTTCCAGGCATCTGCTCGTTGTGGTGTGGAAGGGTGTGGAAGTGTGATTGGTGAAGGGCTGTGAACAGAGCACAAGCATCCCCACTTCCTGCCCTCTGCCCTTGACCTCTGTCGCTCTCTCTATACCCTCAGCCCTTCCCCTGCTTTAGAACCCAGCTTCGGAGCGGGCAGCAAGCCCCCGTTGACTCTGAGTGTTTCTGCAGGTGGATGCCTCCCGGGTGGCAGCTGCCTCTGCAGGCAAAAGGCCTGTGAGTGTGACAAGCTGTCTGCATACTGCTTCAAGGAAAACCTGGACACCTACGAGAAAGCCTTCAGGCAGGTCTTCCCCAGCAAGTCCCAGTGTGGCCGACACAAACTCCGGTGCTAGGAAGGCCACCGTCCCTGACACACAGCACCTACTCTAGTCATGGTCCTCTGGCAAACTGTCTCCGGCCACCTCTGATAGCTCCCAGGCTCCTGGAGCTCCTCATCGCTGTCCAGGGAGTGTCTTCTCACTCAGCGCTGGGGTCTGGAAGTGAGACATGGAGGAACCCCTGCTCTGGAAACAGACCCTGGGTGCCTGGCAATTAACTGACATCTTCCAACCGAAGTAAGTGCTAGGAATCAAAAAAACAAGAGAGCGGGGATGGGAGGCACCCTCTAATTCCAGCATTTGGGAGGTGGAGGCAGGAGAGGCAGGAATTCACTACATGGTAAGTTCAAGGCTAACCTGGGCTACCTGAGACCTAAAACCCTTTTCCCAGGAAGGGGGAAAACTGCCAAGATCTAACCTAAACTACTATACTCCCCACCCAAGTCAGGACGCATGTCTGACCAGGGAACCGAGTTCTCCACCCAGATCTGACTGGGGACAAAGCGGGTAGCCTAGAAAATACAGCCCCAGAGCCTCACCGGAGGCTGCTCCTTGTTTGTTTTGCTCCAGGTCTGCCTTCTGTAAACCCGCTGGCAGGAAGAAGGCTGGTCTGGTGTCTCAGAAAGCCGGGTGCCATTGCAATGATAATGTTCACCATTGCCACAAGGATGTCATGGCAAAGATGACATGAAGAAATGCAGAGATGCATGGGATAAAACCGGACTCTCTGAACATGGCGAGCAATGAGGGCTGATGAGAAGCCAAGGACAATGGCACGGGGTTTTGATCCTACTTCATGTTCTGGCTTTGTGGGAGCCTAGCCAGTTTGGATGCTCACTTTCCTAGACATGGACGGAGGTGGGAGGACCTTGGACTTTCCACAGGGCAAGGAACCCTGACTGCTCTTTGGACTGGAGAGAGAGGAGGAGAGGAGTGGTGGGAGGGGAAGAAGGGTGGGAGGAGGGGGAGGGAAATGGGAGGCTGGGAGGAGGCTGAAACATTTTTTTCCTTTTCTCAATAAAAAAAAAAAAGAAATGGAGAGATGATGGGCAGTTGATCTAAGGCACCCTAAATCCCCACCCCCATTTAGAAGCCTCTGGTCCTGTAAGACTTAAATCTAGTGACCAGTAAACAGGGAAGGTCTAATTGAGGTGGAGTCAGTTCTTGTGGCCAGCCTGACATAGTGGATCTTAGGCACAGCTATGACCATGCTTGTCTCCCTGTTTGGTGGCACTTGCCTTTCGTGCCCTAGCATTCAGCACATCTGTCAAGGGCAAAGTGTCCTTTCCGGCCCCTGGATCTGGGACCCTGCTTGGTCCTGTAACCAAAGCGGAGGTCTTAAGTGCAGGCTTCGTCCTCTGAGGTCCAGAGCAGGTCTACTGTGAAGACTCCTGCATCTGCCTGGAGGAAGCCTGGGCTCGACCTCCTGGGTGACAAGAGCTTGCTGGGTCAGCATCAGCAACAGCAGATCTGGGCTCAGCAGAGACTTCGCAAGCACTGGGGATCCCAGCCATGTCCAGGCTGGTCTGTAGCACCTGGAACCATGAGCCTTGTACAGGAAGCTGTGTCATCATGGTACGCCGGCTGTCATGGTGCTTCGATGTGGCTGGTTACCTAGCTCTGCCTAGCCGATGGTGCTGGTCTTTATTCACCAGTACTGCCAGGTTCTCAGCACTTGGTGGTCGCTTGTCCTCATCCTCTCCCCAATGAGTGTGAGGGGAGATGACAGGGTTTGCGTACTGATAGAGAGCACACAGGTGAAGAGAAGAGAGTGCACAGACACTTGGCTTAGTAGGTCACCCAGCATTTGTATATTGAGCCCATACTGTGTTGTCACCACAGGCAGTGATGAGCAGCAGGGATTTAAAGAAACACACAGAGACTCAAATCTAAGCATTTTGAATTCCAGGGTTATAGTGGGGTGTAGCCGCTTCTACCAATGCCAGAGGTTAAAACCTGGATTGAGAAAGCAGAGCACATGAAAACAGATGGGTCAGTAGAGGGCCAGGGCCCCTGAGGTCTTTCTGGTTCAACCCGCATAGTCGTCTTTCTTCCCCCAATCTGCCCATGTATAGAAAGTAGACATGTTGGGAGGGGCAGGGAGCGGGAACCTTTGGCCTAGGAACATCGGGGATGGGCTCGGGCATGGTACCTGTGTGGCTAGGCTAAGCCAATGGCACGTCGCCTTCTAGAAGGTCCTGTCTTATCAGAGACTAGTTCTAACCTGGGATAATGTACAGGTGATGTGTGAGTCCCAGGCAGTGTTGTGCCCAGAATCAAAGCGGGGGCTGTAAAAGGATATCACTGGTGCTTGCAGGAAACATCGCTCTCTTGGGAGGGCAGCCATTCGTTTGCATTGGGGACTGACTTTATGCCAGGCCTGTGATGAGGGTGGAGGAGTAGGAATTCTACTCCAAGGACCTGTCAGACTGGGGAGGGAGGGCACAAGGACCCAATGGCCTGGGAGGTGCTGAGATGGGTGTGTGCTTGGGGAGCAGTGGCCACTGTCTGGGAAGAAGGCTCCTTCGAGGAACGCAGGGGCAGGTGTGTGTATGGGGGGTGACATCTTATCCGAGACCCTAAAGAAGAGAAAGAGCTGAGAGGACCAAGTGTGGTGTGGGGGGAGCAGGGGGTCCACCCCTCTCCCCAAGGTAGACAGATTGAAGATAATGTTGGCATCAGATTCTTCTCAAATCCCACATCCAACCTTCAAGCTGCTGGCATGGCCCTGTCAGCCCACCTCCATCCTGTATCTATAAAATACTTCGATACAATACAAGAGGAAGAATCTAGACTCAGCCTCCTGCTTTGTGGGGTCATGTTTGCAACTTCTCACACAGCAATTTGTCACCAGGATGCCTGGGCCACCCCTCCCTCATCCTTCCTGCGGTTCCTCTTCAGCCCATGTCAGTAACACACCACCTATCCACACTGCTAGCCCTCTTCCCCTCCAGGGCCTTTTCCCTCGCCCACTGCACCATGCTGACCTTTGTTTATAGTCTTTGCCCCCTCTCTGTTTGAGAGCAATGATCTTGCTATCACTGATGTGCTGAGGGAAGAAGGCAGGCAGAGAGATGGCGTGGCGGGTACGAGCACCTGTGGCATGTTTTTCATGAACGGTCTCACTTATCATGGGAGAGAGCCTGGGAATCAGTTATTCACCCCGTGACTCTGGTGAAAATGAAGGGCTGTGTCTGCGCAGCACTGGAAGGTAAACCTTCTGATTTGAAGTCTACACACTCTACAGTTGGGAAGCGGGAGTCTCCACTGAGAAACTGCCTCCCGTGGTCCTTACGTCTTTATCAACTGTACGGATTTGGAACCACCTAGGAGACACAGCTCTGAGAGCTCCTCTAAGGTTGTTTCTGGTGGGAGTTTAACTGAGGAGGCAAGACCAACCCCAAATATGGGAGTCACCATTCCACAGCTAGGGATCCAGATTGAATTTAAAAAAAAAAAAAAACAACAAAACAGTTGGACACTTGCTTCCCTCTCCCACCTCCATCCTCCATCCTCCCTGACTGTAGACACAATGTAACCAGCTGTCGGGGCCACACTGGGTCGTGCAAAGATGGAGACACACCACTGAAGTCTAATAAACCAGAACAAACTTTATTCCAGGAAAAAAGTGATGGGGGCACAAAAAGCTTATCAGCTAGCTGAGACCACAACCAGAGATGTATTTGTAAGGCTGTGGCAAAGGCCAGTTTTTGAACTCCTTTTTTAGTAGCAAGTATTAGACAATAACAAAAGAATTTTACAGTCTCAAGATAAAACTCAGATACAAATTGCCCTTCTTTGCAATCTCCATTAGCCGAGTTTTTCAGTTAAACTAGTGTTTGTATTTAGTCCATTGTTTTCCCCTGGCGTTCCTTGATAGTGTTTACCAAGGCTCTGCACCTCCCCTGACACTGCCAGCTTCACATAGCAGGGAAGGGGTATGGGACGATATAAAACCAAAAAGTCAAAAGACACGTACACCCCATCATTGAAAAGTTAGCTCACATCAGTTTCTGCTCATGAGCAGCCAGGGGGTTATCTAAAAGCTAACCCTCAGTTTGTAGAGCGACCCTAAGTTTGCAGAGGGCTGCTTCAGCCTCGCAGACAGAGCTATGGGTTGTAAAGCAGAGTAGCCCACTGTTAATAGTTAATCCTTAAGCTGCTGAGAAAGCTGCTGACAGTCTGCTCTCATTCTCCTAGGCTTACAACTTTATATTTCTTTATTTCTTATTTCTGGAATCTACATTTTTATTTATTTATTAAAGATTTCTGCCTCCTCCCTGCCACCGCCTCCCACTTCCCTCCCCCTCCCCCAGTCAAGTTCCCCTCCCTCATCAGCCCGAAGAGCAAGCAGGGTTCCCTGCCCTGTGGTAAGTCCAAGGACCACCCACCTCCATCCAGGTCTAGTAAGGTGAGCATCCAAACTGCCTTTGCTGGAGAAGTTGTGGAGTAAGGGGTACACTCATCCATTGCTGGTGGGAATGCAAACTTGTGCAACCACTTTGGAAAGCAGTGTGGCCGTTTCTCAGGAAATTTGGGATCAACCTACCCCTGAACCCAGCAATACCACTCTTGGGAATATACCCAAGAGATGCCCTATCATACAACAAAAGTATATGCTCAACTATGTTCATAGCAGGATTGTTTGTAATAGCCAGAACCTGGAAACAACCTAGACGCCCTTCAATGGAAGAATGGATGAAGAAAGTATGGAATATATACATATTAGAGTACTACTCAGCAGTAAAAAATAATGACTTCTTGAATTTTGCATGCAGATGGATGGAAATAAAAAACACTATCCTGAGTGAGGTAACCCAGACCCAAAAAAGAGGAACATGGGATGTACTCACTCATAATTGGTTTCTATCCATAAATAAAGGTCACGGAGTCTATAATTGGTGATCATAAAGAAGCTAAATAAGAAGGTGAACCCAAAGAAAAACATATAGGCATCCTCCTGGATATTAACCTTCATCAGGCAATGAAAGGAGACAGAGACAGAAACCCACATTGGAGCACCGGACTGAAATCCCAAGGTCCAAATCAGGAGCAGAAGGAGAGAGAGCACAAGCAAGGAAATCAGGACCGCGAGGGGTGCACCCACACACCGAGACAATGGGGATGTTCTATCGGGAACTCACCAAGGCCAGCTGGACTGAGTCTGAAAAAGCCTGGAATAAAACCGGACTTGCTGAACATAGCGGACAATGAGGACTACTAAGAACTCAAGAACAATGGCACTGGGTTTCGATCCTACTGTAGTACTGGCTTTGTATGAACACCTGATTTTCGATAAAGGAGCTAAAAGTATACAATGGAAAAAAGAGAGCATCTTCAACAAATTGTGCTGGCATAACTGGATGTCAACCTGTAGAAGAATGAAAATAGATCCATATCTATCACCATGCACAAAACTCAAGTCCAAATGGATTAAAGACCTCAATATCAGTCCGAAAACACTGAACCTGATAGAAGAGAAAGTGGGAAGTACTCTACAGCACATGGACACAGGAGACCACTTCCTACGCATAACCCCAGCAGCACAGACATTAAGGACAACATTGAATAAATGGGACCTCCTGAAACTGAGAAGCTTCTGTAAAGCAAAGGACACTGTCACTAAGACAAAAAGGCAACCCACTGACTGGGAGAAGATCTTCACCAACCCTGCAACTGACAAAGGTCTGATCTCCAAAATATATAAAGAACTCAAGAAACTAGACCGTAAAATGCTAATTAACCCAATTATAAAATGGGGCACTGAGCTGAACAGAGAATTCTCAACAGAAGAAGTTCAAATGGCCAAAAGACACTTAAGGTCATGCTCAACTTCCTTAGCAATCAGGGAAATGCAAATCAAGACAACTTTAAGATACCATCTTACACCTGTCAGAATGGCTAAAATCAGAAACACCAATGATAGCCTTTGCTGGAATCTACATTTTTATATTCTTTTTCTTGGGCTTTTCACCAGCTACCACTAGCTCAGTCGTGATGGACTGTTCCCTCAAAATGAGAGCCCAAATACACCCTCCCTTCCTTAAGTAGCTTTTGCCAGGAACTTTGTCATAACAAAACCAACTAACACATATCTCTCCGCTCTCCCCTTTATAGGAGAGAGATAGTGGACCTTTCTAGGTTATGGCTGAGTGGAGTCAGGAGTCAATTTTTGGATGACAACACATAACTTCTGTGGCCTCTATGAGCTTTAGCCTCCTCATTTTATAAAGGAAATGATGAAGAGTCCCTGGCCCAGGCGGCTGCCAGGCAGTTTGAGGCACACCGTGTATATAGTAGATGCTCACTTAATCTCGGCTGCCACCCTGGGATTGCAGACCCCTGCTCCAGCAGGTTGTTCTTTCCTGGTGGCCCTTACAGAGAGATCTGGCTTGGTTTTGCTCCAGGATCCTGTCTCCTGATGCTAGAAAGCCTCAGTCTTTCTCTCCAGAACCTTGCTTGTCACAGTTGGTGGCATCAGCTGCTTGTTAGGAAGCCACAACTGGCGAGGCTGGCAGCTGGCATTGCTTTGCCAGCCCCTGGAGAGGAAAGGCTGTGTTCACATTCAAGGCTGAGCTGAATACATGGCCGCGCTCTAGCCTATTCCAGCTCAGCCCAGGGGCAGGCATGGATGGCATGGGGGAAGGGGCCTGTGGTTGTCTCCCCTCTTCTTCCCTTTCAGCTCCCTCCAACTCCCCAACCCCCTTGTGCAGGGACAGGACTGGCTCCCTAAGCCACAGCTGCTTGGTCAGGTTTCTGTTTGCGGGGGGGAGGGGGAGGTCATGGCCAATTCCACCAGCCCAGCTCCTTCCTTTTCCTGCTCCTATTTGCCAAGCTGACTTGGGGACCTTGTGGCCAACACCCTAGCCAGCTCTGACACTTTCTGTCCTCCTTGCCAGACTATACTAGGCATGCTACAGGGCATGCATATTGTTGCCCTCAGTCGCCCCCACCCCCAGACATCTGTGCCATAGAGTGCAGAGAGGTGAGGCTCAGGGGGTGACGTGACTTGCCCAGGCCCATGCGGCCAGTCAGAGACTGTGTAGTACCTAGTCCACAGTCTTTGCCTGAAGGACAAGTGTTTGCTGTGAGTGGTAGCATTGGAGGCTGTGACAAGGTGGTTGAGATGTGTCCTTTTGCTCCGGGGGAACATTGGCTGCCTGGGATGAGACCTGTCTATGGGGTAGGGACCCCACCGTGGTGGTTCCATTAGCAGAGGAGCCCTGAGATGTCATGAGTAGCACCGGGTGTGAGCCATAGTGTCCACCAGGTGTCACCAAAGTTCTAGAAAACAGTCATTAAAAACAAAGGGTCCCCAAATCTGCAACTAGGGCGCGAGGGGGAATGACAGGTTCTTCAGCACTCAAAAGGACAAGGTCAGCAAGAGAGCAAGGACAGCGCCCTCTCAAGTCTCAGCATAGGGGACCTCACAGCTACCAGGAGTCACAGGCAGAGGCAGACTGTGGGAGCAAGGAGATCTGCCGCCCCAAGGTCATGGCCTTCCTGCTCTTCCTCTCACTCCAGCCCGACCCTAATGGCCTCTGCTGCTGCCACAGACTTGAAATATCTTCATCTGTGCTGGTATGCCACAGGGCATCATGCGGGAAGGTTACGGTCCTACGTGCCGTCATCCCCTCCTAGGCCGGGGCCCTGGGAGAACAGGGGCCACTCCTGGGAACACAGCAGACCGTCAACACAGTCTGTCTTCTTCCAGGATCTCATAATGAGCTGCGTCTGTAATGCAGAAAGGCTTCTTCACTGAGGACTGAGGCAGGGGACAGAGCCCATGGGTGTGTGTCAGCCTCACCTCCCTTGGGAACTTCCTCCCCCCTTCCCTTGGGTTAGTTTGGGTCCACTTTACACACACTACAGTTGGAAAGAGGGGCCTCCACTGAGCACTTCCTTCCACCGGATTGTCATGTGGTCGTATCTATGGGGCATTTTCTTGGTTAATGATTGATGTGGGAGGGTCCAGCCCACTGTGGGTGGTGACATTCCCTAGGCAGGAGTAGGTTGTATAAGAAAGCAAGCTGAGCAAACCAAGGGGATCTGTGAGTAGCTTCCTTCTATGCTTCCTGCCTCTGGTCCTGCTTGAGTTCCTGCCCTGATTTCCCTCAGTGATCAACTGTGGAAGGCGTGTCTAAGACAAATGAACCCTATCCTCCCCGAGTTGCTCATGAGTCATGGTGTTTACCGCAGCAATAGAAATCAAATCAAGACGAGCACCTGTGACTCTGGACACTGGGCACACGAGGAAACAGATAGGAATCCGTGAAGGAACTTGAGCGGGAGAAGAGGTGGATACACATGGGTTGCTCCGTGGCTTCCTGTCGTTCCTCCACTTCCTCTGAGGTATCTGACCTCAGAGCTAGAAACCAGGAGGACCCAGATTTCCCGCCTCACTCTGACTCTCTCCTCCCTGCCCCTGCTTTAGCTCACTGAGACAGCTGCTGTTTTTCTGGCTGTCCTATCAAGTTGTGGCCTTTAGGCGAGGGTTCCATCCCAGAAGGGACAACCAGAGACACGACACTGGACAAGGATAGTGTCTGGTGCACATCAGTGGGGAGGTACAAGGAGGGGTGGCTGAATGTCATTCTCCAGATTCAGAGCACAGCTGTGACTTTGGAGACTTGGGGACAGCTGCTGTCCCTCTCTAGACCTCAGCTCATCATCACTAAAGGACAAGCATCCTGAGCCCACACTGGCTGCCGTCATTGCGTGGAGGGTCCCTTTGCCCTTGCCCATGGCCTAGGCATTACTTTCCTGTCTTCTCAGGCTGTGCCTTTAGCTGCACAGGGCCATATCTCCCCACAAGCAGGGGGTGAGGGAAAGGATGAGGCCATGCCAGCTGCGGAATGTCAAGACATCTGTCTTCCCCAGAACTAGAGACCTAAGAATGTATCCCTGCGCCCACCTTGACCCTAAAAAGGACCCAGCAGTGGCAGCCAAGCTGGAAAGTGTTTATTAGTCTGGGGAGTGGTTGTGGCATTCTGTGAAGAACTGGGCAATGGGGAGAGGGGGACTGGGGCACAGGGTCCTGGATCCCACAGCAGTAGAGTGTCATTGGTCCAGCCTTCTCTATAGGAGATGTGTGCCCATGGAAGAACCCACAGCAAGCCTGAGGTCAAAACTCGGGAGGAAGCTCTCTGGGCACCCATTGCAGGCCTATCCCTCGCTTGGGGGTGGGGCTAGTGAGGCAGGGAAGGGAAGGGAGACTTGTTGGCTGAACTCCTGAGAGGGTAGAGGAGGAAGCTCACAAGGTCGGGGCAAGTTCAGTCAGTTCATTTAGGTGACCACCGTGTCACACCACAGCCAGTGTGAGGCAAGCTTCAGAAGGATTGCACTTGCCCGCAATGACCCCTAATGGTCCCAGAGTTGCCATTTCCGACACTGCCGTCCGCATAAACTTCTTTTCCTGCATTTGCCGCCACTCTGGTTGGCCCTCTCTCCCCAGTAACAATGTCCCACGTAGCCACACAAGCTGAGCTTCCCAGCGAATGTTCTCAGCATGCAGACGGGGCTGGCGTCCCTGGGTCCTCAGAGTTAAACATGGATGAAGGCAGAAGACAGGTATGAGGCAGGGCTAGACACTGCTGGTCCTGAGATGGAAGGTGAGGCCGGGGACAGAGAGAGGCACACCTGAAGAAACACAGGCTGGGGGCAATGGGGAAGGTGACCTGCCAGCAGGAGCCTTCGAGATTCCCCAGACCCATGGGGCCACGCCCTCAGCATCACTAGCCCGGTCCCATCCTTTCTCTTGCTATTCCCATCTATGTGTCTGGCAACTGGCCTGGCCTTCGCTACATCCTGCTCTCACCTCCTAGCCCCTCCCTTCTTCACCACCCCACCCTCTCTCTACCCAAGTTTTCCTCTCAGTGTCTTGAGATTTTTCCCTTCCATCTTTCAACCTAAACCTCAGTCTCAGTTCCCCAGAGACAGTCGGAATCAGCCTCTCCCTGCATACGGAGTGAGAGCTCCAGGTACCCCCTAGCTTGTCACTCTGAATTTAGGTGGGGTAAGGCGCAATGGGGTACACACCACTTCTGTGCAGGAGTCAGGGGGTAGGAAGAACTGTGGATGTGTGACCACCTCCTCCCAGTTCCTATATGTGCAGCTATACTCTATATATGGGATCCCTGTGCCCTTGGAGCCTGGCCAGAGGCATGCTGGGTAACAGAAGTCAGGCTTTGGGCCTAGACACATCCCATTGGCTGAGGACTGGATGGGGCTACCCACTCTGTCCTCCTCATAGAAGAGACGACTAGAACCCAGGCCTCAGCCTAGCACTCTGTCTTCCTGAGTGTGGTTCCAGGTCTGTGCTGGGCTCAGAGGTTCCGGGGGATGAGCTGGGGGACATATCCTTTCTTTCCGTATCCAGGAGAGACCCCAACAAGTCGTGTGTTTCCTGCTAAGACCTGACCCAGCTGCTGAATGTGAGGCTGACCGAGTGATGGCCATAGACAAGCCCTGGCCTTTCTAGAGTTTTCTGAGCTAACTACAGTCCTGGGAGGGAGCCCCAGGACAGCACTGGGCCCTATGTGGCCCCACACATCTGGTGTAGACCCCAGTCAGACCCGCCACCCTCTTTTTTCTCAGACCTCAGCCTGGCTAGGTTGAGACAGGGGTCGATGGGAAGCCATATCCACAGGTGACTTCCTCTGGGTATGGGTCATAGATGCTGCAGTTGGGTGTGGGACCCCGGCAATAGACATTGAGGTAGCCTCGGTGCCTGTCCCTGTACGGCTGGTCCTTGAGGCACAGAGTCAAGTTCTTGTCACATGCACATGTCTGCTTGTCACACTCTGTCTCATTGAGTTCACCTGTCGTGGAAAGAAGGCGTAGGCTTATGGATGACAGCAAGACAAGAGAGAAAGGGGCTCTAGGAACCAGGTGGCCTTGGAGAAATGGCTTCAAGTCCATAAGTCTTCTTCCACCTGGCTTTTAGGGTGCCCTGCTCTGGGCTGGTACCCCACAGCCTGTCAGTGACGCTAGCACAGGGTAAAACTGGGGAACCTCTGAGCAACTGAGACAACTGAGGCTAAGAAAGAGGGAGGGGGGGAGCTGGAGAGATAGTTCTGCCTATGGGATGCTTCTATACACTGTGGCTGTGTATTGCCTCCATTGGTTAATAATAAAAGCTGTTTGACCGGTAGCCAGGCAGGATAAGGTTAGGCGGAACAATCCAGCTGAGGACTCAGAGGAAGAGGGGTGGAGTTCAGGTGATGCAAGCCAGCTGCCCAAGAAACCAGATGCCGGTGGGCTGATAAAGCCACAGCCACGTGGTGATACATAGATGAATCGAAATGGGTTAATTTAATGTGAGAGCTAATTTTAATAAGCCTGAGTTGTCAGCCAAACATTTATAATTAATAGAAGCCTCTGAGCGATGATTTAAAAGTGACTGTGGGGCGGGGCGGGGCAGAAAAACCTCCCATTGCATGACTCAGCCGTTAAGAGCACCGGCTGCTATTGCACGGGACCCGGGGTTCAGTTCCCAGCACCCACATCAAGTGGCTCACACCACCTATGACTCCAGTTCCAGGGGATCCGACACCCTCTTCTGAGCGCTACAGGCGCGCACACTCACATGGTGCACTTACAGAGAAGCAGGTATACACACACATAAGTAAAAATCAACAAAATTAGGAAGAAAGAAAAGAGGGGCAGATTTACCCAACCCTACCAGTACCTCCTGCTTTCCCAGACTCCTCCCTTCCGTGGAAGAGCCAGGCAAGCCCCCACTCTCCTAGGGAGAGATTGGCAAGGGCCAAGTAGCAAAAGGTAGTTCTTACTCAAATTCATGCCCAACTAACGGCTAGTCTAATTCTTCAGTTCGTGCTAACACTAATTTGAAGCCAACGGTTAGCTTTTAGTGTCGGTGTGTCTCATTTGGGATATCCTTATCCCAAAAATATTTCATTGATTGCCTGAAATCCAAGCTTAGTGGGGTATCCTAGGTTTGTCTTTGGGTCCCCACACTCACCCCCCCCCCAAGGTCCCATTCCTAGCCAGGGTGTCAAGGGAGGGACTCACTGCAGACAATCACAGTGTCATTCTCAATTCTGTGGTCATAGTGGTCCACATAGGGGCGGCAGCCTTGGTCAAAGAGCTTCTGATAGCAACAGTCGTGGGCGTGACAGCACCTGAGGGAGTAGAGATGGGCAGACAGATGCAGGCAGCCCTCCCCCCCCCCCCACACACACAAGCCAAGTGGAGACCTTGGATCATCTGTTTCAGTCCCTCGTGGTCAGCCCTTCAAACTGCAGTCCAGAGAGGGGTAGTTACACGCCCAAGGTCACACAGTAGAGCAGACTGGCACTGGCATCCTATACTCTTGTCCTTGATGCTCCCTCTTTGTCCTATCATCAGGGCTCTTGGCCCCCTCCCTACACCGGAGCCCAGAGTGGAGCTGCAATTGGAGTCAGGTGTCCCAGCTACCAGGCCTGAGGGAGGGTCGGCAGGAAGCCATTACTTTAAAACCATAGGAAGTAACTCAGGCTCTATGCAGAGCCCCACTGTGCTGGATGGCCAAGAAGAGGAGAAGGTCTGAGGCATGTCAACAGGCATAGGGGCATGAAAGATGGGAAGTTAATGCAGAGTGGTCATCCCCTCCTCTTCTACAAGAGTGAAGCCAGCTGCCAGCTCTCTGAGGTGCCAGACTTGGTGCTGGCTGCTGCTGGGGAAGGAAGAGCGGAAGCCATGACTTCCAGGGCTTCTTAGTCTGAGGGAGAAAGCATGGACTAATAGGGTGGGTGTCCATAGTGTCTGTCCCTTTGTGGAGGATCCACCACGAGACCAGTGCCTCCTTGTTGGTTTGTGGGGGCATAAAATGCCATTCTAATACGGACAACAGAAAGTATCTAAGAAGGTAAAAATGGGGTTCCTGGCCCTTCCTCCTCAGTCTGTCCATAAGCGTCCCCCATCTCTCCCAACAGGAGGCCTCCAGAACCTACCAGTCCACCTCATCCATGGGCTTGCCGCGCCCCCCTAGCCCGCAGTAACAGCCGTAGCCCACAAAGGACAGGATGGCGTTTTTGTGGGTGATAGCTTCCACCATGAACTTCAGGTTCAACAGGCTGCCATGGGCGACGGACACAACTACAAGAGAAGTGGGGAGTGACTCCTCAGAGCCCAGAGAATGGGATGGGGAAGGGGCAAAGGGCGAAGAGGGTAGTAGGCTGGGGTTCCCACTCCCTGCACACCCCGGAGGACCGAATCTGGTTCATTCAACTGCAGATAAGACAGCCTCCTAAAACTTTGAATTTGTTAACTCATTGGGTATTCATTGTGAAGTCATTAACACAGTTTTACAGATAAGCAAACTGAGGCAGGAGCCCTGAGTAACTTGCCTAGGGTCACATTGTCTCGTGATGGTTGGGGAGCCTAGAGCAAGTCAGGGTGGGAACCTCAGCCACACCCTCTGCCTCAGGTGCTTGGCTTCTGGTGGAGCCTGCTAAACTCATGCTAAGGTGAAAATCCTAAAAGTCAGAATTGCATTTCAGTGGAGTTTGGTGGTTACATTCCAGCTACTGAGGACCTTGTCTGAGGCAGGAGGATTGAACGTGCAAGGGCTGCCTGGGCTGTAGACTGGATTCAGGGACAGCCTGGGCAATTTAATGAGATCAGAGACCACTTCCCCAAGAGGTCATCCTCAGTGCCACAGCTGTCAGGAGTTACAGGAATTGGGTTCTTTCTGCTCCCTTCCTGACCTCTGCTACTGAAGGGAGCCAGGGAGTTGGTGCATCTCAGACAGTGCACACACGGAGCAAGCAATAATGCAAAGGCGCTTCTGTCACCAGCAAAACTCAGCTTCCTGACAGTGGCCAGGCCCTCCAGCCATTCATTCATCCTTCTTGCTTCTCTGACTGCTTCCCTCTCCTGTCCCGTGTGGGGTGTGGGGCTCTCTGAGCCATCTACACTTAGTCAGTGCCATGAGCCTGGGGTCTGCAGTCCCTACCTGAGTGAAGCCACTCACCTACCCACCAGCAGGAGGGAGGTTTTTATCCCCATTTATGGGGTGAGAAAACAAAGGCTCAGAAGGGGAAAGGCTTGCCCAGGTAGCACAAGCTGGGAGTAGCAGAGTTCAGGCAGGAGCCTTGTCTGTTCCTTAGCTGGATGCTGAGCCATGCATATAACAACCTCCACTGGTCTGCTCCATCTGCATCTGGAGTTAGGCATCCTGTCCCCACATCCTCCAACCTCCTTCCTCCGTGGGCAAGAAAATGTTGAGAGACAAGAAGCCCAGTTTTGGAAAGTTGAAGGCTAAATAGAACCCCCCTCCCCCCGCCAAAGGACCTTGAGGTACCTAGTTGCCACCATACGGCCCTGGCTGCCTCCTCCCCTGCAGGCATTTTACCCTGGGGACAGGATATATATAACACCAGACTGCTGGGTCCCCAACCATCGGCTCTCACAGGATGAGAGTTAGAAACATACATGATTATGCTTGGCATAGACAAACACTCCCTTAAACTCCCCACTTCACACATACACACACACACACACATCACATCACATCACATGACATCACACCACAATGAACACAAGTGTACACCTAGGTGCCAGCCATGAGCCATATTTTACTGACGTGTGGGCCACGCAGACATCGTGTATGCTCAGACACACCTACACTCATGCACAGACACGCATCTAGCTACACACAAACTCATTAACTCCTGCCAGCACAGAAAGTCACTAATACATATGCTCAGGTCCACGATGATGGCAAACGCTGCCAGTTTACGAGGATTGCTCAGCTCCCTGCACCTGCTCAGCATAGCTCGTTAAAGATGTCTTCTGGCTTGTTTACAGGTGTCCCGAACTAAACATCCCCACAGGAGAGAGGTTGGAGCCTAGACAGGGAAGTGGAGAGGAAGGAACAGCCTGCCAGTAGAACCACACAGGAGGTCCACATTTCTAGGGAAAGGCTGGGGGAGGGAGGAGGGTCAGAAAGGTCTCCTGGGAGCCATGCTCACCACTGCCAGCCAGGACTGCGATGGCAAAGAATTTCTTCATACCCAGGCTGGACCTAAGAGAGAGCAAAGCCCAAGCTGAATCCCTCTTCCCCAGCTACGTGCAGCCGGGTCTCATCCAAGACACCACCCATGCTTTCTCTTGCCCTAATTGCTGTCACCCAGACCTGCAATCAGCACCTCCCTACCTGGCCTGCATCTCCTGGGAGGAACACACCCCAGGGTGGCAGAGCCACCAGAACCAATCTCCTCCACCGCCCGCACCCGACTCTCAGCTCCAAGACGGGAAGCCATGGCCCTACACCAGATTCAGCTCTCTTGAGTCTATACTCCAAGGAATGCCAGGACCCAGGTCGTGGAACCCCACCTGGCAGTTGGATCTTAAAACATAAAACCAAGAGACCCGGGTCACTGGATTCTAGATTCAGCTTGGTAAATGCTGAGGGACCACAGGCAGATCTCTCAGTCTCTCTAGGCTTCAAGAACAGATTGGAGTTGATTAAATCCCAAAGATCCTTCTAGGACCAGAATGCAGTTGGCACGCTTTTGCTCAACATGCAGAAACTCCGCTCTCCTTCCTGAGGAACTGACTCCAGAGCGGAACCGGAACCCCTCCCCATCTCCCTGCCCCCTAGGTGGAATGTTCCGTTCCAAGGCAACAAGCACCTACCTGGAGGTTCTGAAAGGAGAAGAGGCTCTGAGGCTTGGCCTCTTCCATCCAGTGGGGTGTTTAACCAGCGCCTTCTTCCTGAACCCTTTGGGGTTGGCCTGTGCCCCATATGCCATGTCTTGGATTTGGGGAGGCCAGCGACATAGGGCTTTAAAGGTCTTTGATATGCCCGGAAATCTCTGAAGAACAGGCCCCAGCTTCACGCTGCTACCACGCACACTAGCAGGGTAGTGCTGGGGCAATGCCCTTGGGCAGGAGGCAGGTGACAGGTGTCCTAGAAAAGACTGACTCCACCTCTTCCCTCCTGCTGTCACAGCCCTTCCCACACCAGGCTGGTAAAATCCCCACCCCACAACAGCCTGCCCACCTCTGGGCTTGGGAGTGGGGTACCCGCACCAAGAATCAGCCCCACCCCTGTACCTGAAGCAAGGCTGAAGCTCTCTCCATCTCCAGCTGGAAGATGCTAAGGAAAATGTTATCCTACAACACTAGCCGGGGGGGAAAAAAAAGGAAGAGGTGCTTTCTTCAAGGGACCTTCCTGTAGGGACCACTGTACCAGGGCCTTAGAGTGAGCAAGAGAGACTGGACTCAGTTCCATATACAAAGCAAAGAGGGTTAAGGAGGCCAGAGTGCAAAAGGTCCGGACCCAACTACATCAGAAACCCAGTTGTGGTGGCACAGGCCTGTAATCCTGGCTCTTGGGAGATGGAAGCAGGAGGAGTTCAAGTCCATCCTTGGCTACATGGCAGGTTTTAGGCTACCCTGGGCAACATGTGAATCTGGGAGGGGGAGGGGAAGAAGAGAGAAGGGCTGGAGAGTTTCCTCAGTGGTTAAAAGCACTTGATGCTCTTGCAGACAATCTGGATTCAGTTCCCAGCACTGACACTGCAGCTCACAACTGCCCGTCACTTCGATTTCATGGGTTCTGGTGCCTTATTCTGCTTCTTCAGGCGCCAGGCATGCGAGTGGTGAGGGCACATCCATGCGGGCAAGGCATTCATACACATAAAATAAAAATAAATTGGGCCTAGAGAGATGGCTCCACAGTCAAAAAGCACTTACTGCCCTTGCAGAGGCCTCGGGTTCACCAGAACCCACACGGTGGCTCACGACTATCTGTAACCCCAGTCCCTGGGGATCTGGTGCTTCTTCTGATCTTTACATGTAGTGCATGTGCATGCACTCAGGCACATACACATAACATATCCTAAAAATAAAAAATTAATATTTTAAAAGGGAAAAAAAGGCACGCACGACAAGGCAAAAAGACAAGTGTGAGTGAATGCATGGTCATCACGAGGACCCGGCAGGGCAGAGGCTGCGCTAAGCTAAGCTGACTGGACAATGTCTCAAGCAGCAGGGATCACGCGTTACCTCAGGGGATGGTAGAGGCTGATCGGTGGATGTCGAGAGGGACAACAGAGATCCCAGCTGAACCGTGGTAGCAAGACTGTAGCTAAACGTAGACACTACAGAGACCCCCAAAGCAGGTTAACCACCAATGCCTGCTTAAGAAGGAAGCTGTGAGGAACCCAAGTCTGGCCCAGTGATGGAGGCTCTTATTGGTGAGGGGACTTTGTGTGGACACGTACCTATCCGCGCATCCCTAAGTGACTGAGACCGGGGTGAGACTCATGCACCCAGCTCACCTGCAGTGTCAAGAGTCCTCTTGGGCTCTTTTTAACCTGTCCCTGTGGGTAGAGACCACACTCAGTGCTGCAGCCATCTAACACACCCCAGGGCTTCAAACAGCACCGCGGGCCCAACAACAGCCCCTCCTACCTCACTCCTAAATTGGCCCACCCCCCCCAAATGTCTTTGAAAATTATTATCTGTACCCAGATGGTACCAGGGTGGGTGGTGGAGGGCCTGGTGAGTCTGGGTGTTAGCATCAGTTGCTTGTTTTTAGGGAGTGGGGTGTGCGGTGCTGGTCCTTGTTATTACCATCTTCTCTGTATGGGGTCGGGAAAGAAGGGAGGGCTCTGGGAGCCACCTGAGCAGACTGAGCAGGTACCCAGGTACCCAGGGCTGAGACCTTGGTCACTGGGCTCCCTTCCCTGCTCTGTGCCCCCCTCAGCTGTGGATTCAGGGTACCAAGGCCTCGTTCCAGGAATAAGGATTTTAAGTACCTATGTTACCTGCGCTATGAGGCATGCACAGGGCTCAGTTTTAAAGACAAGGGCCTGGGGTGAATAGGGGTGGGTTGTGGCAGTGGTGGGGGTGTCAGGGATGATGGGAAAAGAGGCCTGTTGGATTCTGGTACTTCCAATATCCCCTCATCCCCACATCTCTCCTCATCCAGTGTTTCCGATCCTGTTGACGAGGGTCTGAAAGGGATGCCCTGTCTTCTTATCCCCATTTCCTCCCATTCCCCCTGTTTCCTCCCACTTCCTACTCCCCCACAAGCTTCTCTTCCCCCGCAGGCTTTTCAGACTTCCTCTTCTGGCTGTCCCAAGCCCATGACCCTATCTCAGGTGTCATTCACTGTCCCTCACCTCCCCACTTCCGCCCAATTTCCTGTCTGTGTCCCCAGGAAGTCCTTCACAGCCTACCATCAGTCATCCACACACCACACACGGGAAGACTTTAATTTGTACTTGCAGGTGCGTTCCCTTGCGGGTACCTGCATGTTTTGGTTTGTGGATCTCTACACGACTGGCAATCCCGGGGTTCTGGGGCCCTTGCTTTCTCAGTGAGCCCCAGGGTTTGCCCCATGTGACAAGGGCTTCAGAAAAGCTGTTGACAAGGTTGGTGTTGCTCTCCTGTCTGCAGGGTATCTGGGTTCTAATTCTGCCTCCTCATTTGCATCTGTCTCTCAGGAAGATCACTGGCCTATGAAAACAACAACAGATACAGCCTGCAGGAGCTGGGGAGTGCCTACATTTAGGCTAAAGCCAAGACCTGGAACCTCACTCAGGAAGCCACTTTGTCCCCTAAAATTCGAGTGGAGATGCAAGTCAGGCAGGTCTTCAGACAGCCCGATCCTCCCCGGGGAGAGGCGGGCTCCTCCACTCCCACCTGCCTCTTCCAAGCTCCAAGAGCTCAATAGTGAATAATAAACTGGTCTGCCCAGAAAATCCACTTGTGGGAGAGCAACCCCAGATACAAACCTAAGCTATTCCCAAAGATGGATGCAAAGAGACACCGCGAGGGTGGCCTTTATTATTTGTGTCTTAGGGACAATCAAGTAGGTTAGTCTTGTTTAATCTAATCACCTCTTTGAGGGTACTCTTTGCAAAGACAGATACATTCTGAGGCACTGGGCTAAAGTGTTCAAGGGGCTTCACCACGGGAATTTGAGGGACACCATTCTGGCCAGAACAAGGATTTACAGGAATTCCTGCTGGCATTACATGAGGAAATTCTGAATTTACCCTATGGAGCCACATCTATTCTGATACCAAAGCTGCTAACAGCCCAAAGGAAGAGTGCAGAACAATGACCTCCTGAACACAGAGTCTATAAAATATGTAAACAAAGAAACAAACCATAGCCACGTTGGCTTTATCTGTGGAATGAAAGTTTGATTTTTACACTAGAATAGAACCCATGTGTATTTTACCAACCACGTTAATGGGTTTAAAAATAAAATGTGTAAATACCTCAGATGCAATCAAACCAACCAGGAGACACCATGGGACAAAAATCAGCATTCATTCTTGGCAAGAACAAATCTGAAAGTCAGAAAATGGAGATCTAAGTTCACCTTGAACTATAAATCACAACCAAAATCACGCTTGAGGCTGAAAAACTGAATGTCCCCTGCTGGGAGGGGGGCAAGGGTGTCCACACACTGTATCTGTTCAGCACCGCACTGGGGTTGGCGGGGGAGGGGGGGACAGGCAGTGGGAGGGCATTTAGTAAGGTAAAGAGAAAGGGACTGGGGAGGCACAAAAAGAAATAAAAACACAGCCAGGCAGGCGTGGCACACGCCTTTAATCCCAGCATCCAGGAGGCAGAGGCAGGCAGAACTCTGTGAGTTTGAGGCCAGCCTGGTCTACAAGAGCTAGTTCCAGGACAGGCTCCAAAAGCTATGGGAAACCTAGTCTCGAAAAATCAAAACAAAACAAAACAAAAAACCATTAAAGCCACAATGGATGTATCTGTCCCTGGACCTGATGACACACGTGCCTACTCCCACACTTAGGAGGCAGAAGCAGGCAGATCTCCCCAGAGTTGGAGGCCAGTCTGGACTTCATGGAGAGACACTGCCTCAAAGAAGAAACAAGTAACCACCAATAACAACAGCAACAACAACACACTTCCATTAGCATCCACTTAATGGTCCACACGAGGACTCCTGCCTGACCGTGGCCACTGCCAGCCATGTGCTCACAGTCCTGCCCTGTCATGATGGTGCCTTCACTTGACTG